TATATATATATATATATATATATATAATATATTATTAAAGCTAAATATCTCTTCAGTGCATTCCATATCAAAAAAGTGCATAATATGCCTTTAGTTTCACAGACTTTTATGTTTAAAATTAAAATAAGTAAGTAAATAAGTTAAAACTCTATGTCCTATTTCATGTCCTGAAGTTACAGATATTTAAAGTTTATTTTCAATAGAAATATAGGTAGCAGCAAGTACAATGTGTAATTGTGATTTGTTGATTGTTGAATAAATTATATTGTATGCACATAAAGTCTAAAATTTTGTGTCAAAGTATCCCGAAGTTACCGTGGAATTGCCTGTAGCTTGCTTGCCATGCCTGTCAAAATGACCATTCATACTGTAACTTTATTGCTTTTTGAATTTTTTTCTTTAGTGCAATTGACTATTGCACAGCTGGAAATGCAGCCACAGCCACAGCTTGCTTAGACAAGTCTTTTTTTTTATTCCTTGTTGCGCACACTTATTTTTTTAAAGATTTTCGGAGGAGGGCGGAATAAAAATAAAAATTTAATTTTGTTTTCTTATTTAGCAAATAGATTTACCAAAATCATCCAGACAGAGGAGAAAAAAAAATTGTTATTGGTGAATGTAAAATAGGATGTTTAAATGCTTCAAATTTATATAATTATGAAAATATACATTTTATCTTTGGAGATTTCAAGGCAGCGAAGGGTGTAATAAAAATAAAGAAAAACTCCCACTTTCACTTTTCCACTTTTTTGTGGCGCTGGGTGCGCTAAGGCCAAAAATAAAGTTTTATTTTTATTTGAAATCAATAAACAAGGTCTAAAAAAAGTCTTGCCTTATTTATTATATAATATTTATTGTGAATATTTTAAAATTTTTAATTAATTATTAATTAATATTCCTTTTGTAGCTTGCTATGAAGAGAGTTCGAGAACTGCTCGACTTGGATCCCGACACAGAAGCGATGAAAAGTAGCGCTAATGATGTTCTTTGGTCAGTCATAGCAGCATTTGTAAAATAGATGTTTCTCTTGGACATTTAAACCCGATAATTGCTTATACAGAATTCAGACATTTATTTTTTGGATTATTGTATATACAGTATTTACATTTATAATACTTATCAACTGTTTCCCATCAAGGTGCTGGTATTCTGCATCAACTGTCCTAGAAATGCTTCCTTGTAGAGATCTTTAGTTGTACTGTATTCCCTGTCATTCTAAATTCCTGTCCAGACTATCAAATTTTATTTGACAACATGTAAAATGCCAAAGTATGATCACTGTCATCATGACCATATATAGGCACATCATGATTATATATGGAGATACAAGAGTTTTTTGTCATTTAAAATTTGATAATCTGGACAGAGCTTTATAGTTGTAGTATGGGGAAGTACTGTATTGAGGATACACTGTCTGAGTTGAGCCAGCTCTTAAACAATAATATTCAATATTTAAATTGCTTAGTTACCGGTATTAAATAAGTTATTAACTTTCAATTGAAAATTGATGAAATAATTTCCAGATCAGGTAACATGCATAAATAGTACCTGTATCCCTTGCACTGTATCCCTTGCATACTGTAGATTAGCTGATAATAAATTTAAGGATAGTCAAATTAAAAATACCACGATTGAAGTTGATAACATAATTGCATAATTGTTTTTTAATTGAATGTTGTAAGCTGGGCACGCTGCACTGGTGGTCGTCGGCTGATCGCAATCCAATGGAGAATGCAGTGCGACGAGGCGTGCACAAATTTTTTTTATTTATGATAATCCTCTCAGTTTGCCATTAACAATCAGCAGACAGCTTTTAGTTGTCAAGCCGTACAGAGAGCAGAGCTGGGGTTACAGTGTAGAATATGCCTGAATTTTATGGTTTTGCAGATGTTACCATGGACAGTGTACAGATGCGGATCGAGAATTTTGCACCATTTGCCATGGCGAAGGTTGGAGCAAAGGTCAGGGTGGGAAACAAAAACTTAGCCTGAAGCAAGGCAAATGTCTGAAAGCGGATGATGCAAGTTTCAACTCGCACCTATTCAGTTCATGTATATTTTTTTAATGGAAAATGACGTAAAGAATGTTATATCTCTTTAAAACCCTCAGATGGTCCCAGCAATAGGGGGATCCGCCCCTGTGGACCTAACCTTTGGACCAAACTGGGATAGTCAGGGTGAACTCTGGATTTGGGTCTGGTTGTACACCTTGTACAGACTTGTTTGGGTTGTTACGACACTGTATGCTTATGTGAAATGCACATATTTTGTTATACCATGGAGGTATTATTGAGATCGGACGCGACAAACCAATGTGTTCCCCGCCTTTGGATTGCGCGCGGGCGTATTACCCTATAATTCACATTTTTTCGTTACCAGCAACCTGGCAACGACATGCGTTTATACGCTTCAGCAGCAATAAAGCGTTTGATTTTAACCCATTAAATATCTTTATAATGAACAATGTTCCTGTGATAGGATTTTTTCAGACTTTTAGTATGTTATTATTTGTATAGTTCAGGAACAGATTCCATAAAATATTTCTTTCAAAATTACTTCTGTCTTCATTATAATTTTTTCTAAAGATTGATTGGTTCGACTATAAAGCTAAGGCAGCGTAAAACTGAAAATTACTGATTTTGGATTGAATTTTCGAATAGTTAACCCTCGTTAACCCTAAAATGACTTAGTTTATTATAATCCTCCATCACTCCTTAATTAATATGTTAAAATTAGAATTATCGAGTTTTATCCAATTTATTGAAATTCAAATTGAAATATACCATACTTTTAAAGCTGATGTAAATGTTTCATTAAATTCGAAACTTTAAAAAAAAAAAAATTATTATGTTTGGTATTTCTTAAAAGATCAATGTATTAGCTTCAATGTGAAAACGATTGCACAGCCATAGTGATTGACTGTAAGCAGTGCGCATTGAGAAAATAACGTGCTCTCCATTTCGCCATGTTCAATTTTTTGGTAAACTAAGCCTGATGAGCATTTGGTGGCGGGGAACACATCAGACTTCAAAGGCATCGCGCAAACATTCTTCACGTGCTGTGGCAGCTTCGTTCTTGGTTCATTTGCATAGCGCTGCGTGCACGTAGCTTTTTTGAGTGATCATCTCAATAATACCTCCATGGTTAAACCCAAAGTGAATTTTTACACATGCACTTTTCAGTAGTCTAATGCATACTGACCAGGGTATGCTTCTATTTCCATAGCAATATAAGGGAAATACCGTAAAACCTTGAATGGAATTATTGGGCTCTATTTTTTTTCCTTTTTCTTTTTGCAAACTTTGGATGGGCTTCTTTTCGAGGCTATTTTTGTAAAGTAAAGAAAAGGGGGTCTACTTTTCAAAAGGAATGCTGTAAATTTTTGGAATTACTGTACTACTATAAATCAATAAATGTGGCAAATCCGGTTTTGGAGATAAATGGCCAAAACATGCTAGAATGTCAAAATTTTGGAAATCGGTTTTATTGCATTAACCTTTACCTTTATATTTTTTTAACGATTTGGTAATGGTTTCTGTGTAAGAATGCCCAAATCGTAAACTTTGAAGGCTGATTTCTCAAATATTGTTCTTTAAACAGCTGTATGTTTAAACTCCTGTAACTTAATAACAAAATGTCAGATTTAAATGATTCTTTTACCATTTTATAGCTCTCATTTTACTGTTTAACACTGTATTAATAAGTAAAAATCTATTTTTGCGAAAAGTGACTGGTTTGGCTTATCTTTGCCACAAATAGGGCCACATCAGACATCAGTCTACAGTATATCATGGAGAGCATTAACCGGCATTAAATCACCGAAATTTCTGTATAAACCAAGTTTGTATTTAATTTATATTGTTGTTTTAAAATTCATGTACAATGTATGTGCTGTACTATCTCAAAAAGAAACCCATGTTATCTTAAAATGAAGCCCATGGGCTTCTTTTAAGGCTACTTTTGCAAATTGAAGAGGGGGCCTCTTCTGGAGATTAAGCCCATTTTCTGTTTGATGTTTTGCGCTATGGAAATTGATCATATTATGTACCTTGTTAAACTATAATATCATTTTATATAGTTGTTCTCAAAATAAACTTCTTCAATACGAGACCTGCAGTTTACCTTCATTTTCATACCCATGCGGAGATTTAAAATTGTTATTGTGTTTTTCTTCTTATATTTGTAATCTTATACTTGCTTTTACTTTGATACTTGATGTTGGTTTTGACAGTAGATTTGACAAGTGTTGAGGCCATGTTTTTATTTATTTATTTATGACCAAGCATTATTTGTGATCTTACGATTTGTCAACTTATGAGGAACTTCATTACAAGCGAATTTTATTTAAATAAAAAACAATTTTAATTTGTAGTTAATGCAGGTGATGTTAAATGGATAGTTGAAAACAAAAATAAAATTTTAATAAGAATTTAGTTTCTTTTTTTAATCAACATCAAATGCAACATAGTTTCATGTTGCAGTAAAGGTAGTGGTGATTAATACTTGGTTTCTAATTTTGATGAACGTTGATTTATTGTATCTTTAATTTAATTTTAATTGAAAATCAGAATAATAATGGAACTGTAAATAATATTATAATTACTTTTATTTTAGGATTGGGGCTGACATTACTCAATTATATAATAAGAGTTGGAAATATACTGTACAACTTGACACTTAGCTGCCATGCCTCAGCTCGAGCATCAAGCCACTCATCTAAAACCTATGATTAGTTTAATAATTAACTATGAATGGAATGTTAAAAAGGTGTGATTTTAGAAATTAGTTATTGTTGTTACATATCTTTTACACTACGAAATTATACTTAAAATGATGGTATACTAAGTTACTGCAGAACTTGAAAATATTTTTTGTTTTATTAAAAAATGAAAAGGGAACTGCCTCATTTTTCTGCTTTCACAAAAAACAATGGAACATTCCAACAAGCATAAACCTACAAAAAAAAAAAAAAAAACCAAAAAAACAAGGGTATCTAATTAATAAAAGGGGGTGACATGAGTGCAGGCCCATAATTATAGTTTATATGGTTTGAAAATCCCCTTGCTTGAAATTTCATCAAAATGGTGATAAAACTCACTATTTATGTGCTCCAGTGCTTCTGGTCTGGGAAGATTCACCCCAACTCCACTAGACCTCTATTGCTCCCTGGACCCATTATAGGAATGCCTTTTTAAGGAATACTGGTATGGGAGTAGAGTAGTTGAGACAGCAATTGTAGCTCTCATCATTTCACTTTTACGGTTGCTACGATTATACTGGGGATGTGGATATTCTATTTATTGTGTTATATGCTGAAAATTATAGGAATGCTCCATAGGAAGTTTGATCGTTACTTTATTGTTTCCAAAATACTTGGGCAATAAATTGAAGCGCTTAAATTTTTCAAGGAACATGATATTCAGTTTTTGAATATTTTACTTTGGTGCAAGGGTGATATGATGCATTTTTGATGTATTTTTTAAGTAGACTTAATTTTCTTCATTCTTGAAAGGATGTCTGTAAAAGATCACATTTATAAAAAAAGATATATGTACTGTATGGATGTATCACATATGGATGGTTTGTCATATATATAAAAAAATGTATAATTAGGATGTGACATATCCGCAATTAAAAAAAATTTGATTATTTTGGATAGTCTCTTATAAATTTAATTTTTCAATTATACTGTGGTGTTTTAAAAACAGTATCATTTCATTTAATAATTGTTAAAGGTTTAATTATTTAACTTATTTTTAACAGTGGCATTAGTCATCCTTGTTGTAATTGTTGTTTAAACAAATTGATATCTTTATCTTTCTTTCAATGAGATAATATACCACTACTAATGTAGCTCCAGCACAATAAAGAGTATCATAATGTGAATTTTTTTGTTTAATAACAATTGTTAGACCAATCTGTTGTTGTGTATTAGTAGTACTGTATTTTTTTAATTTATAGCTTTTTATTTGGGCTGTATGTTATTGTGGCATTTTCAAGGAACAGGTCTAGAACCAGACATACCAAAAAAATATCCACACTCACATGTATTACCACTTTTTTCCCTTTTCTTTAATCAAGTATGGCCCTTCTGTGCCCCAAGTCATCATGGTAGGAATATCCTTTGCCCTTGCTTGGTACAATCTCTCCTCTCATTTGTAGGTAAAAACATGTCAGGGCATTTAACATCAATTTTATTTTAGTATAGTTATTAATAACAAATGTATTCACAATTGATCAACAAATCTTTTTATCATAAATGACTAAACACACCAACATTTATGAGAACTGTTATTGTGCATTGTGTACATTCATATCACATACTATTATTCTTGTCCCCTGAAAATGACAAAAAAACAAAAAATAATTTTGAAATTGACTTGCTTAATCTGCAGTACACATACAAATTGTTAACTTGAACATATAACAATCTGTACCCTGATTTGTATATTGGAACTGGAAATGGTTCTATTATTTTTTTCTGTAAAATTATGGGTAGATGTTTTTTAAGTACACCAATTTATATGTTTAAGTTCATAATTTTTATTATATTTGTTGATACTTTTCATGGGACAATACATCTTTAAAATACAAGTCGTATGTCAAATGATTACGAGCACAATATCAGCACAAAATATCATGTGAAGTAATTTCCACTTCTGAATCTGTTCAATGTAAAAAGTTTGGATTGTGATATGTTTGTATATATAATACAAGTACTGTACAGTTTGTAAAGCACAGTATCCAATACTGTTGTGTTTCAAAGATTGATGTGTAGGGAGAAAATTGCTGCACAGAGCTGTTCTGTCTGCTCTCTTGTGGGCAGACCATAAAGCAAAAGTATATTGTGAGAAGTTCCAAAACAAAGATGGTTTAAAAGAATTACATAACCGTATATAAAATAAATGGTACACAAATGAGTCACTGCTGCTGCTTATGTGTTGTTTTCTGTACTTTCCTGATAGTTGTATTTAATTAAGTACAGTATACAATAAGATCTAACTAGATATATCCAATATAACTTTTTGTGCACACTTTTTTATTCAAGAACTTTGGTTATATAATGAATATTGTTATGTTATAAAAATAGTTTCAAATTCATTAATGTGTGTGATAGGCATTGCAACTTCTTGCTTTGATGTCACCAAGGGTAGGAATGTATACCTCTTGCTGTTGTGTATTGTAGACAAGTGCCCTCGTTAGTCGAAACCCTCTCTTACATAGACAGTCTCCAAAGTAGTTGCAACTTGCACTTGAACATAGTTCTTCTGAAAATTCTTGGAAAATTTGCAATGAAACCTGTTTTACAAAACAAAACAAAAAAAAGTATTGTAAAAGCGCCATGCCATCATCCATTCTAAGCAACATTGATAGCCCTTTGTGTTGCCTTAGCTTGACAGGACCAACATTTCACATTGATACATTGCTCTTCCAACTGTAGAACATAAAGGTCATTGCATTATTCCCTATTCTACCATTATTACTATTATTTAAACTATTGATGTGTAATTTATAGCAATTTATTTATCTTAAAGGGGGGGGGGGGTGCGGAGATGAGACAAGTGCCCCTATATTGCTCATTTAACCTGTCATGAGTTCGGGGAAAATACTGAAAAGATTCAAAACTTTGAGATGTAACGATAATTGCAGAAAAAAAACATGATATGATGACGCAGGAAAATCAGGTGAAAACGAGGCTGATCACTTTTTTCAGTAGCTTGGTAGCATTTCTAACCAACTCATTAATATTCATGACCAGTCCGTTAATTTTGGGCAAGCAGCTGATGAGAATCGTCCCGACGATGATCTGATCGAGCGACTAGCCTAGGCAATACATACAGTAGTGTGAAGTCGCGAGTTTTTGTGATTGTTTACGTACGCAGTAACAGAGAGAGGGCTTTAGTCGACGTCAATTCAATCATAGAGGAATAATTCAATTGAATTAATAAACGTATATCAGTCTGATGGCTTGTTTGTTTATAATTAGGCCTACACCTATGCCTAGGAGTAACAGTCAGTGTCTACCCAGCAACAGTAGCGCACTCCAGTCCGGGACACTGCTCCAGTCCCGCAGCAGTTGAGTTCACACGCAGCCTATTCCTGTAAGTTATTAATATAGGCATAGAGCTTGGGCTACACGACAATAATACCCATTAAAATTGGGCGAAAAATTTTGTATTGATTCACCTATGTTTCGGGATTTTTCTGAATTTTGTTTTGCTACATGATTTTTTTGAAAATGAGTACTTTTTTGAAAGTGAGGGTATAGGTAAACTTACCCAGCAAAATTCCTATTCTTTTGCACACAAACGACTTTAAGAGCAGGTATTTTGAAAAAATCATAACAAATAAACAATTAGGGCAAACAATTACACTAAATGAGTAAACCGGGTGAATTTAGTTGAACTTTTCGTTTCTGGAGTTTTTATTTTACGTCAAGTACGTATTTCTGCGCAATTATCATTTATTCCCCACCACACCCACTTGATTTTTTTTAACTTTCCAGGGAGTCAATCGCTCTAAGCTTTGCGAATGCACTAAAGCCTCTTTTCCTGTCGACGTTAATCGACGTTATCTCAATCGTTATTCAAACAAAAATAACGATTTACAGGAAAAGGGGTAACGATTGCTATCGTTAGCAATCGTTGAAGTTAAAATGGGTCCAACTTTAACGACGAAAAACAAAAGAACTGGCCAATCAAATTATCCATCGATGATGTCATTGAAACTTTTCTGTTTTTGCGCGCTAGGCCTGTGTGGTGTGGGTGCTATTACACGAAGCAATTTTCGTCTCCTTGCTCTAAACTCAAATGTAAGTACTTTGAAAATTGATAGACATAGGCCTATTATGGATGTATATTATTATGATAATTAACCTAACAGGTAGCCATTCGATTTTACTTATTCCCACCCTCCCGTTTAGTCTAGGCTAGGGCCAGCTAGCTCTGCAATGGAACGCAAGGCAATCACTCTTAACTCCCTTCCCTATGGAAAGGAAGCTGCCAAGCGTAGTCTAGCGTAACTTTATCTGAGCCCTAGTTAGACAGACTCAATTATCATATATCTCATGGATTAGGCCTAGTGAAAGTACACTGTATTTCACAAATTTATAAAATGATATGTCATTTGTATGTAATGTAGGCCTAGTTCTCCGTTTTTGATTTTTCTATTTTGATTTTTTTTAGAAGGCCCTTCCTTAGCCTAGGCTTAGGTAGGTACAGTAGGTACATTTATTGATTATCATTAAATTTTAGTCCCAAGATGGACCATAGTGAAAAATCCCTTATGGAAGTTGTGCAGAGATTCGAAATATTATATGAAAGAAGGGCTGCCAACTACAAAAATAAGAGAACCATGAAAAAAAATGCTCTAGAAAAAGTGGCGGACGAGTTGAACTACATGAAGGTAAAATGTAGGGGAGAGGCAGCCTGGACGGGAGATCTTGTAGAACGGGCATATAAAAATGTGCGTACTCGCTTTTCGAGGTAAGACAGTTTCTCATACATTATACATTATTATTATTATTATACATTACAGTATTATTATTTTTATAAAAAAGACAAACAAAAATATTGTTGTTTCCCTCTTAAGCCTAGTAAAATTTTATAACGCAAAATGCTAATTCAATAATATACTCTTTATAAAATAATTTTTTTTTTTATAAAAGTCCCCTCCCCTATTTGAATAATTGCAGTGGGTAGACGTCTTGTTAGTATTATTTTATGCCTGTAGATACCTTAAAGATTAAAAAAAAAGATGAGATCAGGTGCAGGCGTGGCCAAAATCCAGGATGCTGTGAGCAAGGAGTGGGAGGCCCTCCAGTGGCTAGTGCCTTACTACAAGGAACGAGTTGCAGCTGATACATTCTCTTTGGAGGAAGAGGAAGGTTTGTACACTGTATAATAATTATTACAATAAAAAAGGGCAAAAGAGTCATTTTACAACTATTAATACAGGCAGGAAAAAAATCCACATTTTTCATTTTACCTAAATTTTAATAAATTGAATTGAATTGAAATATTGTTCAGGAATTTCTGGCACTGCATAACAAATATATAAAAGGTGGTTACTTTTAAAGTTATTTTATTTGCTTTAACAGATAATAACCAGGAAGACTACTCCTTTGATGAGGGTTCTGAGACACAGGCTACTACAATTCTTAAGGCTATAGAAAGTTCATTCGAGGATACTGAAATTGATATCGGTTTAGTTGACTATTAATTTATATATTTTGGATTGCCTGATAAGGAAATGCTTTTTCTTTTGAATTTATAATTTCAATTTTCATACTTATTGTTTTAATTTGGAATATTCATGAAGTGATCTATTGTGAATGTTTTTCTATTTAATGTTAGATCAAGATGTGGAGGACTTTGAAACTCCAGTACAAGCACAAGTTTCCCCACAACAACCTGAACTTGTTTCTAAGAAGAGAAAAGTAGCAGATAGAGAAAACATTGAAGGTCAGTTCCACAGCATAATTAATCCATTCCTTTTTAAAAATTTAATCTTCAGATTTAATTTTTGTTCCTTTTTCTAGTGTTATACAATTAAATTACAAGAAAATAACACTATTTTTTACTCACTTAAGCACACATGCCATCTTTATAATTTGCTGTTTCAATAATACCATACATCATATTGCAAAGGTTTGTAAAAAGAATGTATTTTTCCTGTGAATTAATGTAATGTAATGTACTATTTATATTGAGCTTTATGCTGGAGTATCAAAGCGTTTAAAAATTACTCGTTCGTTTATGGCTCATATTACATGCAACGTTTGTAGTTCACTGCCTTTTTGTACTATTGGGTTTACCTAAACATCAATATCCAACAAGTTATTGCATAGGATGTGGGGGTGGGGGGGTTTGGTGTGGTGCATCTGAAACTACTATAGAACATAATTTCCTACTCTACCTACAAACATAAGTTGATTGTTGTTCCCTCTAATGTCTTTTCATTTGCAGAAGGAAGCATGTCAGCCCATTTCCAGTAAATATGAGCAGACTGTGATCGATTTCATTAACAAACCAGAAGTACCGCAGGACCGGATTACAAAATTTTGTTCTTGGTTACAATCAGAAATAAAAGGCAGATCAGAGATGGACCAAAAAAAAAATAATGAAAGGAATTAATGATTTAGTTTTTGAATAAGTTGTTAAAAAATGTAAATTGTAATAGACGGAGTTAGCAATATTTATTTAGAAACGAGCTAAGAGATGTAGGCCTAGGCCCTCTGTGATACTCTGTTTATTATGAAATATGTATGTTGTAACCATGGTACGTATTTCCTGCGGTATTTCATCATTCTGCCAAGGTACTGAACTTTAGAGGAATATGAATAGTTCGGGGATCCTTGGCGATTTAACCTTCGTAGGCCATCGTCGTCTTTTGTTACACTACGCCACTCTCCAGCTTTAAAATGCCCACTGCATTCTGAATCTATAAACCCTGAGGGAATGGAGTGGGCATTTTCAGTTTTGATCATGTAGTTGTGCAACACAACACAAGCCTTAACTATGGCATCAACAGTATCCAACCCAGCCTTGATGGTGGTACGCAAAATCCTCCAGTGGGCAGCCATCACTCCGAAGGCATTCTCGATGCATCTCCTTGCTCTAGACAATCTATAATCATAGACCCTCTTTTCAAATGTCTGATTGTGAATGGATTTCCCGTACGAATAAAAACCGTAACGGTACTGGGTTTGGTCTACAGGAGTTCGTGCTTCGAACAGGTCATTCCATTCATAGAAGAAGCCTTTTGATGGAGAAAGTGTACCTATTAGCAAAGGTTTGCCCAGATCGACTCCGGCTTGATTTTTGCGGTTCTAAGCGGATTATTTTTATATTCTCGTTTTCAGTCAAATTGGCGAATTTTTTTGTCAAGATTACTCACATGATATCTTATAATAATGTATTTGAACACATAGTGAAGAGAAAATGTATGCCCGGAAATGGCCTTTAAATAATAACATGATGTTACTCCAAACCTAACTTTCAAATAATATATATGCAATATATCTTTAATATTAGTAAAGGGTATTGCAAGTGCTGTGCTTTTTTCTTTTAAAACAGTGTAAACCCATTCAATAGTAATCCTTTTGAAGCAAATATGTGACCCAGAATTATAAAACAAATTGTGAGGATTAATTTTGAAATATATAGTGTGCAAAGTTGATAATACAGTATGAAAATGTGGCTCAATATCTACAGGAACAACTGTTTTGATGTATGGCTTTGTACAGTCATGTGTAAAGTTATTCTATGAATCTGCTTATTTTTTAATGCCTGGATTATGCCTAAAGGCCGGTTCCCACTAAACGCGTCACGCGGCAAGCGAAGAGAATCGCGCAAAGTTCACAAGAGTTGACTTTCGGTAAAGATTGTCTCGCTTCCAATGATTCGCTTGCCTGTTCCCACTGCTGGCCGCGCGCAAAAACTCGAAATTGTGGGTGGAAACAGAGAAGTGATTTTATTATCGCATTGATAGATGGAGGGAAAGGGCTGTGAGACGAATCAGATAAAATCCTCAGGATTAACAGTCCCAGAACTCTATAATGAATTAAAAGAGTAAATATAAACATAGTTTTTTTTAGTTCATATTTATTCCAGGCCTGAAGCTAGGCCTCCTAAGGGTAGATAGTAGGTCTGAGGTGTAGCAGGGTATCAGAGGCCTAATACTGGTAGAAAAGAGGAGATAACTCAACTCGTCTATGCAAATCCTTTTCCACGCATTGTCACATATTTTCTTTGCTCCCTTGTCTTAGACCTAAACAAGGGTAGCCTACTGTTCCACAGAGTTTGCATGAAACGGACTCGTCAGTCATCGTTCGCACATCTGTACATTGTTTTGACAATGGTCGTGACTTTATTGTTGACCTTTGACATAAATTGAATCTAAGCCTTGCGATTGGTAATTCGGCCGCGAATCCAAAAAAGTTGGTCTTGGATCAACTCTTGTGAATTCGCAGACGAAGCCTCCGCGACCACCGCGTCGAAGTTCGAATATTTGGCATTCGCGTGTTCAACTACAAATTCGTTTGCATGTTCACATTGGAAACGCAAGTCGCGTCTTCGATTCAGCCGCGTGCGCCACATTTCGACGCAAAATTCGCTTGATTGCGTTCAGTGGGAACAGGCCTTATGTCTGTATGCTGATCGATTTGGTATTGCAATTTAAGAGAAAGCTTCAATTTTTTTTGTTGTACACCATTTTTTGTTCAGTATTTTGAAATATATAGTTGAACTTGCCTATGTTGTATCCAAAATGCCATTTAGAAATTGTTTGACCTTAACAAAATTTGACTTGCACTTACGGTAAAATTAGATAGACTTAGAAATTATTAGAGTATATTATTAGTCGTCTTTAGGCAAGTTTAACTGCACTGCTTTATTTATCATGTCTGATTGTCTTGTATTATATACCATAGCCAAGATTTCTTCTTTCATGATGATATTCAACATCCATATTTTTGGTGCTTCACTTGGTTATCGATTATTGTTATACATACAGTAAATTTAAGACTACTGGTGTTACTAAATAAATATTTTGAAACAATTTATCATCCTTGTACATGGCAAATAATTTATTACAAGTGTGTTTTACTGTACACAGAATAAAGCAACATTAATGTAGTCAGGTATTACGATATATATATCACTGTATCACTCTATTTATTATCAAAATATTAAATATATGGATTTATAGTTAGTTTATGCCAATTTAAAAAATAGGGAAGAACAAGTTAAATTTATTTACTGTACACAAAATTCTAATTCATCCTGTAGTAGCTTCAAATTTTAAAATATGAGAAGAAAAGTACAATTAATTGTTTGAACAGACCAGTTAAAAAATTCAGAGTGACTATTCTTACACCATTCAAAAATAATTAGTATTGATATTACAATATCTTTATAAGGAATTAATCATTCTCGCACTAATCATCAATGATAATTTTTGTTGAAAATATACAGTATATATTTTAATTAACCATCACTGTGAAAAGCCCATATTCAAATGCATTGCGAAGTGGTGTAACATAGCCACAACCACAATTATTTTGAAAGATTAATTAATTATTTCATTTAATACTTTTTTTGCAATATAAAAATAAAAATTAGTTTAAAAATTACAAATGATGACAATTACAATATATGTATAATACACTATCTTGTTTCTCAGTCTTTTCTAATGTACAGTAATAATAATGCCCCTGTATTTTGTATAGTTCATGGATCTAACCATTAACATGTAAATGAATGTACTTTATTCAAAAGTGTTGTTTGTTTGTCTAATGTTTGAAATATTATTATTATAGTTTGTATAACTAGGCCTAAACTAGGGGGCTAGGCCGCGCCAGGCAGTGGTGTTGTATTCCGTATTCTCTATATACATACAGTACTGCACTAAACGCTAGGCTATGCCTACACAAGTATGACAAGTTGGTAACAAACCTATAAAACGCCACTTCTAAGATCACCACTTCCAAGACTTCCTTATCCAAACCAGCAAACACATCTTTTTGAAAGATTCATTCTTCAAAAATGCAATCGACTTTATTATTATTATTGAATATTTCCGCTCGCGACGACCATTCTCATCAGTTGGCTATGTCGTTACCAGCTCGTTACGGTTGAGTGAATCAGCTGACTCCCTGGTCTAGCACAAATTTCCGAAATAAAAACTGGGGCAAACTGTTATTTTACACATAATTGAGATATTTTCATAAGTGAAAACCCATATAAATGAAAAGAACAGCCAAATTTACGTTGGAATATCTAAAGTTTGACACTATTTTTTATGGGGTTACCGAATGCAAGCCTTTGAAAGTGGGTCCATTTTAGGAAATTTCCTACTGTAGCACCAGTTTTTTTTTTTGAGACCCAGTTCATGAGCCTCGTTTTCGAATACCGCGCTCCAAAATCAAGTGACGCCACCGTCATTGTGGTCATCCATCCCTCTATTTTATATTAAATCATCCCCGCACCCTCCTTTTACCTAATTGGTACAACCCCCTCCCTTGAGACATAAAGGTTACATTTTTCCTTGAATCGAGGAAAAAAATATATTCAGTGCAGACACTTTTTTCCCGATGGCGTGATGACAAAAAAAGGGGCAAAGGTGAAGACAAGTGACGGATTCAAAAGGGGGCCCCTAAGTTTTTCAAAAAATAAAAAAAAGGACAATTATATTCAAAATTAAGTCTGAGAGTGCCATTTCTGGACATCTAGCAGTGCCTTAATCATAAATTTAAGCCCTAACCATCGTGGGCTGAGTTAGTCTAGACCTCATCTGGGAAAGTCCCGGGGACCTTCTATTTTGAATTGCTGGATCCACCACTGAAGGCTACTATGGAAGAAATGAGCAATAATGTGCAAAAAAAAGGGACAAAGAAATTTAAATTTTAATTTGATACTGTACCTGAACAACCACTACTGGCTCATCGTTTTCCGTGAGTGCAGCATAGTAAGGTGTTGTTTGCTGTATGACTGAACAAATCCTATTGGCTGATCTAGTGGTTCGATGACTGCTTTGATCCACACACTCTTTATTAATTATATTGTAATATTTGCATCCTTGAAAAAGGCTCCCATAACTATTAAGTATTGCTTTCTCTTGTCTTGGAGTTAACCTGTAAGTGGAACATTGCTCCATTTAGGTAGGCCAAAAAAGAAAAAATTCTTGTGTTGGCCGCATTTTGGGAAAATCCAAAAAATGGAAAACAGAAGGAAAAGTTTGTTTTTTTAACAAATAATGTATTTATGCCAAAAAAGCAGAAAATACACAAAAATACAACAAAGACCATTTTAAAATCTATACGATTGGCAAAATGATCGCACAACACTGTTGCATTGCCTACCAACCAAAAAGATAGGCCTATTCTAGCTTTTTTTAGCTTAGTAAAAAAAAAATTAAATAAACAAATAAGATGCCGAACCTCAATTTTGTACATTTTGGGACGATTGGGCGTGGATTTATGTCTGCTTGCTTGCTTCAATCCTACTATGATTGTAAAAATATAACCATCCAGAGCATCCCCCAGTTTGATTGGCTATATGATACATCATTTTATTAATACTGTATTATTAATACTGTTATGAGGCATTACAGTATTTAGCAGCATTTATGTTAATAATAAAACATTCCTTATAACACCATTCTTACTCTATCAATCTCTACAGCCTTGCCTCTATTCATCTTACCCTAAAAAATGTAGGTCCAACTCACTCAAAAACTGGTTGTGTACGATCGTAAAGTGCCTCCGCGCTTTGTCCTTCATTGATGAACCACTCACGAAATGTATTGAGAGCTACGATTTGAGTCTGATCCAAAGCCGAGGGATTTGGCGAAGCAGGTCCAATTGGCAGAGTACACCAACAGAAAGAACATTGGTTCATTGATTGTGTCTTGGGACATGTGATCTGACGAGTAAGAGGCCTCCTCCAGTGATATACTTGACCTTCGACACATTCATGAAGGAGAAGGGAAGTGGATGTTAAGAAAAAAAGATGCAGGGGAAAAATCTTCATGCTGGGGAAAAATAATCATAGTGTCATTTTTATTGAATTCCTGTCGTAGGGGTTAGCCTGATGCAAATTATTTTCAACTACGAGTTAAGAATTAAATATATTTTTTCAAGCCTTCCATCAAATGACATAATGAACTTATTTTTTTATGAGTCATCTGTAAGGACTCAGTAACAATCTAATTAAATCACATTTTTCAGTAAAGCTACATTTACACTAGGCATGATAATGACACGACAATGACCCAATAGAAATGCGCTCAGTGTTGAAAAATATAAAGACAAATGAGATGTCGCTGTCTTGTCATTATCGTGTGTAGTGTAAATGTAGCTTAGAGTGTAATTCCGCAGATTTTAGAAAATATTTTTATATACAATTATTACCTGTTTTAAAATGAACTGATTTTCCATTGCATCACTGTACTCTGCTCCTCCGGTCTATGGTATGAACCCAGTGGCAGATTCAAAGGAGGCTCAGTTGGCCGGGGCCCCCCTAAATTGTTCAACATTTTTTTTAAATGGAGATATAAAGAAAATAATATAAGTCTGAGAGTGCAATTTCTGGCCATCTAAAGGTGTCTTATCACAAATTTTCTTACCTCAGCAAACATTTAGAACACCTATCCTATAGGATTCCTATAGGACATTTTTGTAAAGGCATGGTGGGGCTCAGGTTAGGTTCTGCATCTGTGAAAGTACCTCACTGGGCCCCTCTAGTTTGCATTCCTGGATCTGCCACTGGAAACTAAACTACTGAACCTATTCTACCACCTACCTGATCAAGTAAAATCTTTGTAAATGTTAGATAGATGTTTGATAATTAAAACTTTCAAGTTGATGACTGCACAAATTCATTTGATGTCAGGTAATGAATGACTGCTCGCCAAGTGCCAACACCTGAGTTTGTTTTTGGTTTTATTAGATGGTACCAAGGCCTTGAGCCGGATTTCAAATCTTTGTTATTAAAAATCACCAGATGGGTTTTAACCTTAAGTAACACTTAATGCTTGTGTTTCAAAAGATACAGTAATGCGATTAATGTGTCTTATAAATCTCTTAGTATCTTTCGTTATTTCAGCTATTTGAAATCTACCACACACAAAATATGATCAAATATATTTTTAGTTAAACAAGTCAATTATAATTTATCAAAATAAAGTTTTTATACAGTAGTTTTTTTTTATAGTATCTGTCATATTATAAAATTATATTAAATATAAAGATTAAAAAAAATGTTGCATCTGTTTAGGAGAAACTTCTCAGTTTGGTTGCTATGGTGCATTCCTCACAATCTCTGTGCTAATGCCATCTCATGCTCATGAGCTTCTTAATGATTAGTGTGTAGTGTATTCAAAAAGATGAGCTAGCTTGCTGTTGGATTATTACATTTTATTTAATATGAACACAACAAGATTGATTGCTATATTGCATTTTATTTAAACTACTGACTAAATAACATATTGGTTCATTTGTAAATTGTTTAATAATTATTTTATAAATGTAAATAATGCATTTTCCTTTTAATTTACAAAGGGCTCTAATTTTTTTTTTTTTTTGTACTAACTTATAATACCCCAAGGTGAAGAAGGGCAAATGCTGATAAAGTGACTTGCCCAAGGACCTGAACGTGAATGTGGATTTGTGGATCAACCATTTCCAGAACAATGCTAGCCAAGTAAATTGGTCTCTAGCCAAGTATTAGGCTCCATCAAATTAATAATGGACATTTCTGATAAAACTATTTTCGGGACAATGCATGTGTATGTGGGACATATGACTATTCCTGGCCCTGTTATGATTGGTTAGGTTTGATTAACAGTACAGAAAGGTTCATTAATACCATTTGAAATAGATGATTAATAGTGATGCTTTCACATAACACTGCCCCTTTAAACTATTGTTAATTAGTTTTGAACTTGCACGGCCCTGTTCTGACTGGTCAGTTAAGTTTGATTGACAGTAAAAATACAGAAAGGTCCATTAATACCACTTGGAGTAGATGATCAATAGCGATGCTTTCACATAACACTGCCCTTTTAAAGTAATTGTTAATTGGTTTTGAACTTGCACGGCACTCTCACTTTAAACAACAGTTTGTAATCAAGATCTGTAGGCTGTACTTGAGTCTAGAACAATACCACCATATGCTAACACTCAAGATCTCTGTCAAAGGTTAAAGGTCAGAGGTTGATAAATACATGTCTTTATCATTTCAAGTACTCCAATATTAATAATAATAGAGATGAAATTAACACTAGAAAGCAATTTCAATTGATAAAATAGTTATTACTTAAAATACTTTTAAATCAGTACTCAAGTTTACAAATACCATGACAATAAATACACAGTGAAAGATAATTCTCTTGTGCTATGTGTGTTTGCATTATCTTTGCTTTCTTACTTCTACTCCATATTTAATACAAATATTAAATTACTTAATTATTAAATTCTTCCTTGGCCATGTGTATTCAACCAGATCTAAATATTTATTTGTTTGCACCATATCATACCTATACTGATATTCAAATATAAACTTTGAACAGTACAGTTTAATAATTTAATTTAAAGATATAGTAATAAATTTGTATGCAGTAGTAAGTCAAATGAAATAACAAGTTAAATTTTTTTTAAAATTATTCTTTTAAATAACCATATTTATTCAAATAAACGCCCCTTCTAGAGCTTCATTTGGAATAAACGCTTCCCTTCAATAAATGCCCTGAGGTGTTTATTTTTTCCTCGAAGAACGTGCACCCTCCCCCCAACCCCAAATGACTAAACAAATCTAATGAAAGCAACATCATTCTATTAATGTTCTACTCTAGTAGAATTGCATCTTTTTCTAATCTGGTTGGGATCAATAAGTCTTTGGATCTATAACAAAGAAAAATTTTGATAAGGATAGCTGCATCAACACTGTAAATATGTCTGGTAGGATCAAACAACATACTGCCAACTGCCATGTGCGCAGCTCATGTCAGTGGGGTAGGTTCGTTGATGGCAGTAACATGCATTCTCAAGAAAAAATATGTGGATTCAAAAAAGATTTTTCAGTTGTAAAAATACAACCCTAAAGTGGAAAAGAATGCATTTCCATGGATCTAGGGGGGGAAAAATTTCAAAACACCACCTAGGAAAGGGGTTCTTAGATCAAAAGTCTCATGCCTGCAAATTTGTCTAACTTGGAAGGTATCGTAAATGCTTGAATAAGTGCCACAACGCTTATAAAATTGTTGGAGGCTTCAATGTGGCGCTTATTCGAGGCCGTTTATTAAAAAAAATATTGGCGTGGCCCTTTCCATACTTGTTCCCATGTTTCCTATCTCACATATTCCCGTAGTTCGGTAGGCCTATCATCGTAAATGAACATTTATAAAGATATGCTTGTGTCATCATTGTGTTATTTATACATTTGAACACTGGATTGCTACATTGTATTTATTACTGTTTGTAAAGTGTTTCATTGCACACAGGCGCTTACTAACTCGAATAAGCGCCGCGGCACTTATTCGAGCATTTACGGTATGCCATTTACACCAAAAAAATTAAACGTCTCCCTTAAATAAACTTCACCTCAAAAACTTGTCTCAACAATAAGCGCTCTCAGGCATTTATTTAAGTAAATGGTACTCATAATTGATAAACTGGTCAATTTACTTTATATTGTAATATGAATTTTGTACATGCGTTCTCTTGACTGTAAATTCAATTGATAGATATCATTAAACTAAGCTTTTAAACTGATTGTATGTGCTCCGAGGTCATTTTTTCTGGAGTGAAGCCCTTTGGAAATGATAAGCAAGGATTACATGAATAGAATCAAAAGGCCATATTTTTTTCACAAATTATTGACAAATACAAATTAAGTGATTAATTTTATTTTAGGTGGCAATATATATATCTTCAATCAAATTATATTTTAAAAATGAAAGCCAGTGTTGAATTATTGAATAACCATACTTCATAATTCAAAAGTAGATTGAATAGATTAAAATTAATTGCTTGACACAGCTGCATCCTTAACAATTTAATACACTGTTGTGCTTACTACTGGTCATGTGACTGTCAACAAGTGGCATATCAGGTGACAGCTAGAGTTTATGTCGACCAATCACATTCTATGTTAGCTTTCCAGTCACTGTTACCATCTTCATAAACTTCCTTTAAAAGAAAAAAATATTAGGTAAAAATTTGTTTATATGGAACTTTGTGATACATCAGCATCATTAATTATATCTTAGATCTGAGAAGGAATTGACCGATATATTTGCTGTTGTGAACACCTTTGCCTATGTACCTAAATAAAATAGTTATATTTATTAATACCCTCTCCAATATGCTATACAAAATTAATATTCAATTACACGGAAAAAGAAAAAAATACAAACAACACAAGGTCAGCAAACTTTTGAGGAGATATTGCGTATACGTAATCCTACAAATCCCTATTCTAAATATTTCAAGTGGGGTCACCATACAACAAGCAATAAATTATAATTCCAAGTGGTTTAGAAGCGGAGATATAGATAAACATAGGTTTTATTAGGCGGCCATTTTGAAATCCAAGATGGCCGCCATAATGACCTCGGATGAGGTGGTTCCTACCAAAAATTGAATGCTATGACCATAAGGAGCATGTAAAAAAAAATTGGTGCTTTTGTCCGGAACGTCCACATTAAGTCCAAATATGACACTAAGCTGCCGTACTAAAATGTATAAGCATTTTGAATTTGTTAAGGATGAGTATTATGATGGTATTATGGCCATGGTGGAGACTGTCCCCTAGTCTCTTCTAAGGTGCGGGAAACAAAGTATAGGTAGTGAGTTCCCTCCTGCGCACACACCTTATTCAGGATCGGATCCGGAGATGTCCGAAAAGGGGGCCCCCGGAAGGGGAGGTCGAAAGTGAAAGCTGGGCCCCTCTCTCACCAAATTTTTCCCTGCTATTTTCCCCACTACCAGTTGAAAGTAAAATAATTGCACTCAAGTAATAAAAAAATCACCTCATTTTCAAGCTTCTACCTACCCCTGCCCCCCTCCCCCAACTTAACCTCTGTACCCCATCATCCCTTCCCAACTTTTTAAGACTCCTAGCTAGGCCTAGAGCCAACAACACACTGTGTAGGCTGCTAGGTAGATTAATAAAGAACAGGCTACCTATAGTATATCCAGATAACCAGCATAGGTCAAAGAGTGTAAGGTAAGGCCTGCACACGGAATATAAAAAAGTTAGGCCTTGAAATCCGTTCACGAATTTCGGAAAAAAGGGCCGACTTCACAAGCAGTTAGATAATTTCATAAAATAATAAACTCAGATGTATTTGCCACTGACTTTTCAAATTAATAGCTATTAGAAACTGATTTGCATATAATAATATTATATATATGTTGCCTGACGATCGCAATAGCGTGAAACTCCGAGTAGCAACATTCTGTTCCAGCGACCTCCAGTTCTATATATATATATATATATATATATATATCATATAACATCCAATCATAAACCAGTACTCTAGTTCTGAATAAGAAAGCCTAATCAATATCTGCACTCTCGATTATGGACTTAAATCTTGTTATGACTATATATCTTTATACAATGTAGTTTCTTAGATGAAGGGTTGTGCATCCAGACGTGCTTGCGTTCTATCACCACACAGACTTTTTCAATCACTGTGTACCCCTCGTATGAAGACGGCTATAAATTAAATACTAGATTTGAACTCGTCACTGAGGATGAGTTTGGTGATCCGCCGTACTTTAACCCTCACGAAGCACGAGCGGTTCTGATTGAAAATTATTATATGCTAAAACATGCTCTATTTAAAGAGTAATTTTGAGCATTTTAAAAGAAATTTTAAAGGAAAAGAGTAATTTTGAGCATTTTAAGGACTTACGAATGCGTACACATACGTCTTAACGTCCGTGCGCACGGTAGTATTAATACAGTGTCACAAACCCAACACATGTAACCGAAACGTAATTTCCAGCTTCAGTACGTGCTGTGGGCATGGAAATGAGCGTACGGCGCGTAAATTTCGGAAAGTTTTGGAATATTCAAAATGACCTGAAACGTGCTTTAAATTATCTGAAAAATGATATTAACAATTTTAAAATTTTAACGCACAAGTACGAATACCTTATACGACGTGCCTGACGACGGTAATGGCACATGAATTTAAACCTTGTCAAGTTTAATTTAAAACCCACTGTTGGTTGGTAATGCCACACGAATTTTGCCTTTACAGTATATGAACTATCGGTCTGATAGTGTCGAAATACAGTCTGCCGCCCTCTATTTTCAATGTGTTTACATCAAAGATCTTATAAACACAAGATAGCGTTCTCCGCGATTTACGCGTAACAAATAGAAGCGTCGGT